TAGAACTTCTGTATTGTATGTAATATCTAAGAATGCTAAGTAAACTTACAATTACAACAAGGTTTTATCATGATAAGTACTTGCATATTGTTTTGGACTGAGTTGAAGTTTCACTTTCTACTAATGTGAAAAAGGAAGCATGTGGTCAAATAAAGCTAGCTGAAAATTAAAAATAATGTTTTGCACCTAGTCTTATAACTATTGTAAGTTATATCTTTAATAATCCTCAGGGTTTTCTAGTTTTATGAAAACCTTCTTAAGTTTAGGTGTGACTTTCACCTCAAATTCTCAATAAAATTTACTTTTGAGTATTATTTTTAATTTTAAGGAGAATTGCATTGTCCAATACGAGCTAGTAGTCTCATGTAGTAGTTGAGCACTTGAAATATGGCAGGTATGAATTGAGATGTGCTGAAAGTGTAAAATGCACACAAGATTTTGAAAACTTAGTACAAAAACAAAAAAAAAAATTCAAAATATCTCACTAATTTTTACATTGATTACATGTTAAAATGGTACCTTGTATAAATTAGGTTAAAGAAAAGATATTAAAATTAAATTTACCTGTTTTTTCCTTTTTTAATATGACTGCTAGAAAATTTTAAATTACTTGTGGCTTGCATTATTTCTATTGGACAGTGCTGTTCTAGAGGATCTCTTCCAATAAATAAATTACCTGAATTAAAAGACACATGAAAACCAAAAATTTCAAGTCTAATCATCACTAAAGAAGCAAAACTTTATTGCTTATATTAATTAAAATAAAGAATTATTTCATTACTGTTCTTTTGGAAGACACTGAAAGTTAAAAACCTCATACTTAATAAAAAACCAAGTTCAACCCCATAGTGAGCTGAAGTAAAACTTGAGTCAAAAGTCTTTCCTAACTTATACTAAAGTTACATAGCAGTCTTTAAAATGGTAATTCTGTTCCTTTTGCTTCAATCCTTTTGATATGTTTGAATCCTTAGTTTTAGTTGGTTTTGTTTGTTTTGTAGGTTAAGGTCTAAATTGTACTTAGGATGCTTTAAATACTATTTTTAAGTCCAAAAGTAATTATTTTAAAGGTTTTAAATACTGTTAAATGTCCATTTCAGTAGCTTAAATTCTTCACATGGGTAAACTAGAATGAAAACAATGAGTGTTTTAATTAACAGACCTGAGCCCTAATTTTACACCTTTATAAAATAATGTATATATTTATACAATAGTGAAAGAGGCATAAACATTACTCTGGCATTTTGAAATCAGATATCATAGTCATAAACTAGCTGCACAATATCATGGCAGTCTGTTATGAGAAAATGAAAGTACTTAGCTGGTATGCAGTTTACTTTTAAAGCACTTTATAATTTGCATCATATGAGACTTATAGTCTTAAAAATTACTTGAGTAAAATGTGTTTAAGGTCCCACCTTTAATGTTTCTCACTCCTATGCTTTATCGTTTTACTCATCTTCAATTTTAGTAACTAATAACTAAAGCTAGTTAAATACAAAAAAGTTAATTAGAATGTTTTTCTTAAGTAGTCCCTTTGCATATCTAGAGTTGTGAGCTTTTTAATCCATTTTACCTCAATTTCAGATATTTTGGTAGCATTTTTAGAATGAATACATCAATATTAACTGTAAATGTTATTAGTAATTTAGGTTTCCATAGATTCAAATAAGTTACTATGGAATGTATTAATATAAATCTAGAAATTTCACACATTAATATATTTTCTTAGCTTGCTATTGTTAAATTATAAAGACAATAGGCTATTTATCACTTTTTATAATTATAAAAATATATTCTAGGTAAATGTTTACAAAGTGCCTTTTTTAAATAAATGAAAGGCCTATTTTGTCATTATTAATTAAATGTTTTAGTGAACAACATGAACTCTGTTTTAGGTAAATTTTTATTTTGTATTTATATTTATTGAGGAATCTAGAATTTATTGATAATGGTACTGAAGAAAAATATTTTTTAAAAATCAAACCATTCCTTATATATTAAATAAGGAAAACTTAGTTCATAATTTTCCTATTAGAAAGTTAGAATCTGACACACAGCAGAAGGAAAATTTGCAGTTACTGTAAAAATTTTGGCACAATCTGTCTTTTAAAGGTATAAATTAAATTACTAGAAATTAAACTTTAATAATATTAAAGCATCTGGTGTTTGTAGACCTAGGAATATATATAGAATATTATAACATACAACTATCAAGTATATTCTGGAATAGTTTGAAACACTTTAAAGCTAATAGGTGAAAATATGAAAGATATAATTTTTATGTTCAAACAATGCTTCCCCCACACACGCACACGCACACGCGCACACACACACACTAACTTTAAAGCATTTGGGGATGATCTTGGAAAACAATAAGGAAAGAGTATTTTGCTACTAGTTTTATATTACTCAGTGGCCTTTGATACCCTGACCCCCTGAATTATGAAAAAAAAAATTGATTCAGTGTCTTGTTTTGATAAATAATTTATCAGTTCAAGTTATTAACTAAATTAGGGCTCTCAATCGTAGATTTAAGATAAAATTTATTCTTCCTCAGAGGCCTTTTCCTTGTATAATTCTACAGTCTGGTAAGCTGAACATTAAAAATGTTACATAGTTTCAAGGAGTGATGTATTCACCTACTTAGTGCTCATCCCTAAAGTTGAAAGCCAACTGACTGGTTTTAAGATTGATGGCATTAATAGGTGTGGCAATGTATATTAGGTACCTTCCATTAGAGCTATTTGAGGAGAAGTTTGTATAGGGAGCTTTTTACATAGCAAGCCCTATCATTTATTTTTACAAGATATTTTTAAAACCATAAGTTTTTGTGAACATAAAAGCACAATAAAGGCTAATAAAATTCATTTGGATGTGATGATATTAGAGAATGAGTTATAGACCTTTCTGATCTAAACCTGACTTCATTTTTAAACATCTAATTTCTGTGGAACTAAAATATTTGGGCTGATAAACATTTTTATGAAATAAACCATTGGCTGTTTAATTGCCCTAAATACCTAGATTTCTTGTTCACCAAAGAGCCTTTGTCAGACTTATGTAAGTTTAGTATTAGAAGATACAGAAAATTTGTGAACTGTAGAATGTTCAAGTTAGGAATCTAAAGATTTTAATTAGACGACAGCATAGTTTTGCTACTAAATATTTTATTTTACTAAAAATTATGGAACAAACATTTGGATCTTAGGAATAAGGAAAGAAAACTTACTGTTATTTTTCCCATGTCCCTTTTAATCACTACAAATGTAATTTTTCTCACACTATAATATCAAAAATAGAAATTTATATTTTGCAGTTTTTCAATTTATAATTATTAGATGTTAATATTCTTTTAGTCTTCTAAAAGGTGTTTTTATTTTATTTTTTTAATCCTCACCTTAGGATATGTTTTTCATTGATTATAGAGAGAAAAGAAGGGAGAGGGAGAGAGAGGAGAGAAACATCAGTGTGAGAGAGAGAAAGATGGATTGGTTGCCTCCTGCACATGCCCCAATGGGGATCCTTCCCATAACCTGGGTATGTGCCCTGACTGGGAATCAAACCCACCACCTTTTGGTATAGAATGACGCACTTACTAACTGAGCCACACCAGCCAGGGCTCTTCTTCTATATCTTGCTCATTGGACCTGACAGTTTTTGGAGATACGAACCTGGGACCTTTCAGTCCGCAGGCTGATGCTCTATCCACTGAGCCAAACTGGTTAGGGCTTAAATATAACTTTTAAATTAATTTTTATTCATTTCAGAGAGGAGGAAGGGAGGAGAGAGAGCTAGAAACATCAGTGATGAGAGAGAATCATTGATTAGCTGTCTCCTGCACGCCCCTTACTGGGGATCAAGTCCTCAACCCAGGCATGTGCCCTTGCTGGACTCGAACTTGGGACCCTTCATTCCATAGGCCGATGCTTTATCCTCTAAGCCAAACTGGCTAGGGCTGTAAGACAATATTTTTCTTTTTTTACTTTGGCAATGTATTTTGAGGTCAGCATCTTTTTTTCATTTATGTATAACCAGTCTATCATTATAATCTCCTTTTATACCCTTACTAGAGGCCCAGTGCACAAGATTCATGCACTGGTGGGGGGGGGGGGGTCTGTCAGCCTAGCCTGTGCCCTCTCACAGTCCAGGACCCCATGGGGGATGTCTGCCTGCCAGCTTAGGCCCGATCCCCAAGGGGAATCGGGCCTAAGCTGGCAGTGAGACATCCCTCTCACAGTCTGGGACCCCTCACTCCTTACTGCCCTGCCCACCTTCAGTGGAGGCGGGAAAGGCTTCCAACACCGATGCTGGGCTCACCAGCTGTGAGCCCAGCTTCTGACTGAGTGGCGCTCCTCCTGTGGGAGTGGACTGACCACCAGGAGGGCAGCTTCTGTGTTGAGCATCTGCCCCCTGGTGGTCAGTGCCCATCATAGCGACCTGTTGTTCCACCTTTGGTTGATTTGCATATTACACTTTTATTATATAGGATTTTCAGTACCTCAATTAGCCTCCTAATCAAGTCCTGACCAGAGATTTCCTCTTTTGTGAAGCTGCCAAGTTGAATATATATCCTGGACTGATGTGGTCATTCAGGTGGCAAAGCTCTTTCTTCACACTTGATTCACTATGATATTGTTTAGAACAATGGTTTCCAAAGTTCACTAACTCTAGGCTGTATCTTAATATGTTTTGGGGTAGTAGATACCCACGGGAAACACTTTTTTTAAAAAAATCAGCTATCCAAATTAATATGTGTTCCTAAAAATGAAATGTGGAATATTAATATGCCCATTTGATGTAGTAGTTAAGAAAAACAAATGATAGCTCTGATGATTGTTTTATTAGCTACTGATATAAATATTTTTAGTTGAAAGGAACACTCTTAGAATAATGTTTCTGGGCAAAATTTCAGAAATTTAATTCAGCAAATAGATTTTAAAAAAAGATATCCAAAACATACAAAGTTACTCAGAAGTGTTTTAGGTCTTGAGGCTGTGATGGTTGTCTTTACAATTAGCTCTTGAAAAGGAATGATGAATATATGTTTAATTCTTACTTTTGTCCATTTCCAGCTTACAAAACACTACACAGCAAAATAATGATCTGCTAGACTGCTAACCCGAGCATCCAGCTTCCACAATGCCTGTGCAGGCAGCTCAATGGACAGAATTTCTGTCCTGTCCAATCTGCTATAATGAATTTGATGAGAATGTGCACAAACCCATCAGTTTAGGTTGTTCACACACTGTTTGCAAGACCTGCTTGAACAAACTTCACCGAAAAGCTTGTCCCTTTGATCAGACTGCCATCAACACCGACATTGACGTGCTTCCTGTCAACTTCGCACTTCTCCAATTAGTTGGAGCCCAGGTAAACTTCCAAGATTTTACTAATTTGGTTTGTGCAATAATTATAGTACTTAGTTCATTAAGGGGTACAAAGTATGTTTAATGATATTTGATACGTAAAAATATTCAGTGTACCTGATTCTCATGATTGTATCCTGCAAAAGTTTTTCTTTAAATAATGTCATAAATCCTTATGCAAAAACCATAATTTTATTATGGCTATATGATTCTCTGTGTTCAATGCTGTGGTCAAAATTTATTTTATAAGTGATTTTAGTGGATAAGAAAAATTTTGATATAAGCATACATCAATATTTATTCATTAGGTGATATGAGAAGAAATGTAATCAAAGTTTTGGCCAGAGAGCAACCAACTAGAAACCTCAAATGGAGGTTTTTTGGTTTTCTTTTTAATTTCACTTGACATCTATAATAATAAAAGCGTAATATGCTAATTAGACGGAACAGCCAGGGCCGAGGCAGCTGCTCTGGCTGCGAGGGCAAAACCCCTTGCACAAATTTCATGTATCGGGCCTCTAGTGGTAAAATAAGTCCTATTTGGGGATGAGTATATCGAAAACCATGCTAAAAAATAACTATTTCTTGTTGATAATCATTTTATTGAATCAGAGCAAAGTCCTAGATTTATAGTAATTTTCATTTAATGAGAGTCTACTTTGTGTAGGTATGATGGTAAACATTCAGTATCTATTATTATTAACTAGTGGCCTGGTGCATGGATTCATGTACCTGTGGGATCCCTTGGCCTGGCCTGCACTCTTGCAATCCAGGACCCCTCAGGGGATGTCAGAGAGCTGGTTTCGGCCCAATCCCTGCAGGCCAGGCCGAGGGACCCCACCAGTGCACAAATCCGTGCACCAGGCCTCTAGTATGCATATGAGCTCTTTGGTTAATCTTTGATCGCCATCCCCCCTACCCCCTTTCCCTCTGAGATTCATCAGCCTGTTCCCTGTTTCTGTGCCTGTGGTTTCTGCTCCTGCGTTGAGCATCTGCCCCCTGGTGGTCAGTGCGCATCATAGCTGTCGGTTGGTTGGCCAGTTGCTTAGGCTTTTATATATATAGATTCTTGCTATAGCTTTTCAGGTATTTAATATCCCCATTTTACATGTGAGGAAGAAGATTCTGTACATTGTGTATTACATAAAGTAAGAAAGTAAGAATTTTTCTATCAGTCACATCTTAGAAAATTCAGTGAATTAAAATATCTCATTCCATAGTATCTTCATATTTGAAGTTTTCCTATTAAAGAACAACATTTCTTCTCAATGTTCATAATCCAGACACTCTGAAATCAAGATGCAGTTGTAATTATTAGTGCATCATAATTTAATTGGCAGCAGTTTTTCTTAACAGTGCAGAACATAATGGTGGCTCTTGCAAATAATGGCATCTTAGATCCAACAAAATACTGTTGACTTTTTTGTAATAATACTAGCTACCATTTATTTACCATCTGCTATAGGGCAGGTATTGTGTTTGTCTTTTAAATAAATGTCCTCTCAGTTGGTTCTTAAAAATAGCCTGCAGGCTTATGCAGTGTGATTTCTTTTATCTTTCAGGCTCATCTACTACTGTCTTCACTCTTTCTGCTTAAGCCACACTGCCTCCCAGTCAGTTGTTAAATATGCCAGAAGTATTCCCACCTGAGGGCGTTTGTGTAGTGACTCTGCCTAGAATGCTCATTCCTTCTCCTCTTTTTTTTTTTTTTTTTAAATATATTTTATTGATTTTTTTACAGAGAGGAAGGGAGAGGGATAGAGAGTCAGAAACATCGATGAGAGAGAAACATCGACCAGCTGCCTCCTGCACACCCCCTACTGGGGATGTGCCTGCAACCAAGGTACATGCCCTTGACCGGAATCGAACCTGGGACCTTTCAGTCCGCAGGCCAACGCTCTATCCACTGAGCCAAACCGGTTACGGCTCCTTCTCCTCTTTTAAGTCTTTCTAATGTCACGACTTCCAAGGAAGCCTATCCTCCTATCTTGACCATCCCCCTTAAACTTGCAACCTCTCTCCAAAACTCCTAATTTTCCTTATTCTTGTTGGATAATTGGTATTGATCACCCTTCATCATACTATGTTTTTTATTTATGTTTCTTTTAAATTTATTGGTTGCCTTCTCTCTTCTCCACTAGAATGTAAGCTCCACAAGGGCAAGAAATTTTGTCTGTTTAGCTCACTGTGCTTGGTACATGGTAATAACTCCATAAATATAAATATTTGTTTAATTAAATTGAATTTTAACATTTTTAAAAATTTATCTTTATTGTTGAAAGTATTTCAGAGGTCCCCTCTGTCCCCATTGACCCCCCTCGCCCTGCACCCCCCAACAAGCTAAATTGAATTTTTATAATGGCACAATGAAATAGGGATTTTCATCTTCATTTTGCAGATAGGGAAACCATGACTTGGAGCAGTTAAATAATTTACTCAAGATCACTCGTAGAAATGGCAGAGCTGCAGTTTTGACCTTTCATTGAGAACACTGTGTCTTGTGGTGCTTATATTCTAGCAAGGGGGTACAGTAAATATAGTAAGTACATTATATAGTAAGAAGGTACTTAGTGCTAAGGGGGAAAAAATTCTTGTCCTTTTTACCTACTTTTTGTTTTGAAATACTTTTAGAAAAAGTTGCAAAATTTATACAAAGAACCTGTATAACTTCCTGCAGCTTCCCCTAATATTAACATCTTTTAAAATTACAGCATAGCCCTAACCGGTTTTGCTCAGTGGATAGAGCAAGCATCGGCCTGCAGACTGAAAGGTCCCAGGTTTGATTCCGGTCAAGGGCATGTTCGTTGGTTGCGGGTACATCCCCAGTAGGAGGTGTGCAGGAGGCAGCTGATAGATGTTTCTCTCTCATCGATGTTTCTACCTCTCTATCCCTCTCCCTTCCTCTCTGTAAAAAAAATCAATAAAATAATAAAAATAAAATTATAGCATAGTTATCAACCCCAAGAAATTAACATTGATACAGTACTATTAACTGCCTGCTTCTTTTCTTCATCCATTAACCCACCAGACCCTGCTATTAAGTATGATATTCTTGATTCTTGGAAAGCAGATTTATTAGATGTTTGCCTTTAATTTTATTTAAACTACCTCGATGTATGTCTTTGTTATAATTTATACTCACCAAGATTATTATCAAATATATAAATAACAGCTTGTAAGCTGGGTGAATGTATTTCTTCAATTTTTCGTTTGTTTTGTTTTTAGGTACCAGACCATCAGTCAATAAAGTTAAGTAATCTAGGTGAGAACAAACATTATGAAGTTGCAAAGAAATGTGTTGAAGATTTGGCACTCTACTTAAAACCACTAAGTGGAAGTAAAGGTAAGTTCCCAAAAAGTGTTTTTTTCTGGTGAGGAAGACTTGGTAATACATTTACTCTGACAGATTTGATGCTGATGCCCTCTTAAAACATTTTGAGTTTTGGAAAATGAGTTTGCTTGGAGAGATCTTGGAAAACTTTTTGATTGAAAACATTTATTACACTGTTTTCTGAAAACAACCAATATTGTTATTAATTTAATAATTCGTTAGACATACAGCATTGAGCTTTAAGCCATATTTGTATTCATTGATTAAACTAATAGTGCTACAGCAGGATATTACTTTTGATAAGCCCTATTAAGACAAGTTTTATGTGTTCATGTATTCATTCAATCATTCATTAAATTTTATTGAGCACTTATAGAGGTTATAGTCCCTGTCTTCACGGAGCCCGCAGTCTATTGGGGGTGATAGTCATGTAAGCACAATAAATTATTTTAAGTGCTGTGACAGAAGTGAAATTCTGTTTTGTTTATCACTGCATACCCAGTGTTTAGCACATCGTATATGTAATAAAATGTTGTTGAATGAAAAAATCAATCAAGTATTTATTTTGTACCTGCTCTGTGCTTTGCACTGTTCAATATTTTGGATATAGTGATTTTTTTTTTTTTTTGAGAGACTTACCCTGTACACCTAATTCATTCATTGAACAGATATCTAAAGAGCATATAGTAAGCACCAGACACTATTTTGGTACTTGGGGATACTTGAGCAAATATGCGTGCCCTTGTAGCAATCATGTTTAGAAAAGAGAGAAAGTATAATAATAAATATAATAAAAAAGAAAATTATGTAACATGTTATAAATTGCTATGGAAAGGAAATAATACATTTAGAGGGATAAGAAATGTCAGAGTGAGTGGAGAAAGGCAGTGCAATTTGAAATAAGGTGATGAGTGTAGGCCTCAGTTAAACGGTAGCTTTTGATCTTGAGATAAAAGGTGAGGTAGTTAGCTATGTAGGTTCCTGGGAAAAGACTGTTAAAGGCAGACAGAATAGTAAAGTCCTCAAGGGATATGTAGTATCTTTAAAGAATAACAAGATCTATTTTAAAGCTAGGGCCAGAGACTTTCTTAAATTATTGGATGTGGGATAGGAGAGAAAGAGCGGAGTCAAGTATGACTGTTGGGTTTGGGGCCTGCGCATGAAAAAGAGAGGTTGTCATCAATTTAGATAAGGGATAGTGTAGATCAGGTTTAAGTAGGAAAACCTGGAGTTCAATTTTGGTCATGTTAACTTTGCTATGTCAAATCTTCACTGGAATGCTGTTGAGTAACCGATGGATATATATTAAGGAATGAAGTATAGGAGCTGTAACTTTGGAAGTCATTGACATATGGATGGTATCTAATGCAGTAAGACTAGGTGAGATCATCTAGTGTAGATAGAGAAGAAAATGAAAACTGAGTCCTGAGGCCCTTTAAGAAGACAGGAAGAAAAGATAAAATCAGAAAATAAGACTGGAAAAAAAAAGTAAGAAGGTTAGAAAACTTAAGAGAATGTGTTCTGGAAGCCATGTAAAGAAAAGTGATCAAATAAGTTAGAGGTGATATTTGATGATGCTGTTGAAAGGTCAAGTAAGATAAGGATTGAGAATGGACCGTTAATTTAGCAAAGATGAGGAAATTGTCATGACGAGCAGTTTTGGTTAAGTGATGGTGGCAAAAACTTGGAATAGATTTTAAAGATTGTGGAGAAAGGAATTGAGATAATTCTAGATTTGCTACAAAAGGAAGGAAAGAAAAACTCAAAAAAGGGGGGGAAGAAATGGGACAGAGGTAGGGGAAGAAGAATAAATAAGATTTACTTTTAAGACAGATGAAATACAACTGGCTTGTTCTTATTAATGCTGATGGAAATGATCAAGTGGGAAGGGAAATACTGATGATATGGGAGAAAGACAAGGATTGTTGGAGCAATGTCCTTGAGTCGGGAAAAGGGATTAGGATTGTGGATCTTGTCACTACGCCATGTTCTTAATATCTTGTATATAATAAAAAAAACAATGCTGTTAATAATGATTACTTTTAAACTTTATTCATTCAACTTTATATTTACCTTCAATAATTTTAGTAAATAGACTAAATAAACAAACCAAAGGTACTCTCTGTTGAGGGACTCATATAACCCAGATAAGAGGATACCTAAGTAAAATTTGAAGAAACTAAAAATTAGGCTCTTATTACCAGTGACTGGTAATAAACTGAAATAGATTGAGTAAAAAAAAAAGGAAATTTGTTCATAGGAGGCTCATTAGGAATTGTGGCTTAATAGTTAAATACATATAATAAAAATTGGCTTGTCTTTTTTAATTGAAAAAACGTTAGTTTTCTTTGTTTCCTTTTTCCTAAAGGTGTAGCTAGTTTGAACCAGAGTGCACTGAGCCGTCCAATGCAAAGGAAACTGGTGACACTTGTAAATTGTCAACTGGTAGAGGAAGAAGGTCGTGTAAGAGCCATGCGAGCAGCCCGTTCACTTGGAGAACGAACTGTAACGGAACTAATATTACAGCACCAGAACCCTCAGCAATTGTCTGCCAACTTATGGGCTGCTGTCAGGGCTCGAGGATGCCAGTTTCTAGGACCAGGTAAGATAGATCACTATCTTGCCTTTCTTATTGGTTATCAGGGCTAGAGGATGCCAATTTCTAGAGGTAGGTGAGAATCCCCAGACTCAACCCATCTTTATTTATACATACAAAGCTTGACATAATTACAGATAAGCCAGTTTTTGTTGATCATAATCTATATGATAAGTGCTATAATGTTTTAGATCAAATTCTCTCATTTAATCTTCAATGTCCTTCAGGAGAGGTAATACAGATCCAATTTTACATATTAGAAAACCGAGTTAACTGAGTTAGTTAAGATTACACAGGTGGTAAGTAAAGGAAAAGTAAATTTTTTTTTAACTTTTAATTTTGAAATAATTTCAAATTTAACAAAAAGCTGCAAGAATAATGCAGAGCCCCTGACCAGGTAGCTCAGTTACTTAGAACCTTATCCCAATATGCCAAGGTTGCAGGTTCAATTCCTGGTCAGTGCACAAATAAGAATCAGCCAATGAGTGCATAAATAAGTGGAACAACATATGGGTGTTTCTCGCTCTCTTTCTCTCTCTCTCTTTTCTCTTTCTTCATAATCCTTAAGTAAAATACAGAGTAATGCAGAGAATTCCTTTGTACTCCTTATCCACATTGATTAGTTTTTTAATTTGCTACATTTGTTATATTATTCCCTCTTTCTTTTATGAACCATTTGAAAGTAGGTTGAATACCCATTAATCCTTAAGTGTGTTTCCTAAAAACAAGGATACAATACTACATTCTATAGTTTATATTCCAGTTTTATCAATTATTCCAAATATGTTTTTTATGGCATTTATGTTGTAAATATTTCCCTGGCTGGAAAACAACATAAATTAATACCTTCTTTAGGTATTGCACCTAGAGGCTAGTATCATTTTAAAATTATATAAAAATTAGTTCTGACAGGCAGAGTAACAGTTTCATGCATTAAAAAAATTACCATTTATCATGAGACTGTGTGTCCTGCCCTAAGCGGTTTGGCTTGGTGGATAGAGCGTCAGCCTGCGGACTCAAGGGTCCCAGGTTCGATTCCAGTCAAGGGCATGTACCTTGGTTGTGGGCACATCCATGGGAGTGTGCAGGAGGCAGCTGATCAATGTTTCTCTCTCATCGATGTTTCTGACTCTCTATCCCTCTCCCTTCCTCTCTGTAAAAAAATCAATAAAATATATTAAAATAAATAAATAAATAAAAATAATACTGTGTGTCCTTCACATGTTATTTGTCAGAGTAGCAGTGTGTGTTTTATAAATGAGGATTTTTTTTTCACTTTATGTTAAGTTCTCTTGACTTGTGTTCTTGACTTGTGTTCTGATTGGTTGCTTAATAGGAAAGATGTTTTCTTTTGTTTGATTGCATACCCCTTATCTGTGGTTTCTTTTTCTGCAGTTTTAGTTACCTGAGGTCTAAAAATATTAGGAGGGACATTACAGAAATAAACAATTCATAAGTTTTAAATTGCACATTACTCTGAGTAGTGTGATAAAATCTCATGTCATTGTGAATCATTCCTTTGTCCAGCATGTCCTTACAGTATATTCTATCCACCCATTAGTCACTTAGTAGCCATCTTGGTGATTAGTCTGTTGAGATGTCTCACTGCTTGTGTTCAATTAACACTTATAGTAGACTGACTTTAAGTCACAATGCTTATGTCATTCACCTCACTTCATCTCATCGTGTCATTGTATCATCTCGTATCTTCACAAGAATCTTGAGTACAGTACAGTAAGATATTTTGAGGAAGAGACCATATTCACAAAGCATAATAGTATATTATAATTCTATTTTTAGTTATTGTTAATCTCTTACCGTGTCTAATTTGTAAATTAAACTTTACATAGGTATGTATGTATGTATATATGTATGTACAGCAGGTTCTGGAATAACATTTCATTCAACATTGTTTTATTATAACGTTGATGAGATGCTATAGGAACTTAGCTCTTGTTTGTGTCAATTAGCCTATGGTAAAATTGGTTTCATCATAGGTTGTTTTGCTTAAAGTTGCAAAACCTATTGACAATGTTTATTGAGGACTTTACTGTTTAGGAAAAAAACATATTAAACAGGGTTGGCAAAGTAGGTTTACAGTTGTGTTAATAATACTGTAATTAATAAATAAATAATAATACAAAAATAAGCTCTGCCCCGGCTGAGTGGCTCAGTTGTTTGAGTGTAATCTTGTGCACCAAAAGGTTTCCGGTTCAATCCCAGTCAGGGCACATACGGTATGGAAGGCAGTGGATCGATGTTTCTTTCTCTCTCCACTCCCCTCTTTTCTTCCCCTTCTCTCCCTCTTTCCTCTCTTCCTCTCCCTTCCTCTCTCTAAGCATGACCACAGGTGAGGAATAAAAAAAAGAAGCTCTGTTTCACATACTTAAAACTGTAAGCCTACTTTTGCCCACCTCTCTATATAGGGTTTGGTACTATCTACAGTTTCAGACATCCACTGGGTGTCTTAGGACATATCCTCTGTGGATAAGGGTGGACTACCGTATTTTTTAATTAAGCTTTATTTGTGTATATGTGATGTTCTATTTTTGTGCTAATTAAATACAGACTGGAAAATGAACCACTGTAAACTAATACCAAAGAAATCTTTGACAGACGTGATCTGCAGGGTTTCTCATTTATCATGAACTCATGTTTCTTCTAGCTATGCAAGAAGAGGCCTTGAAGTTGGTGTTGCTGGCACTAGAAGATGGTTCTGCTCTCTCAAGGAAAGTTCTGGTACTTTTTGTTGTGCAAAGATTAGAACCAAGATTTCCTCAGGCATCAAAAACAAGTATTGGTCATGTTGTGCAACTACTGTATCGAGCTTCTTGTTTTAAGGTGAGTAATAAGCAACCATCTAAATATTACATGCCTATATGTGGGACAGAGGCTTTCTGTAATGGGTATTATCCTGTTAGAGGCCCCCACAAATGCAGAATGCTTATAAGAGTTGAAGGAAAACTCTTTTTTTGAGAAGTACAACTTTTTGTTTTTTAATATATTTTTATTGATTTCAGAGAGGAAGAGAGAGAGAGAGAGAGAGAGAGAAACATCAATGATGAGAAAGAATCATTGATTGGCTGCCTTCTGCATGCCCCCCTGCAGGGATCGAGCCTGCAACCCAGGCATGTGCCCTTGACTGGAATCGAACCCAGGACCCTTCAGTCTGCAGGCCCATGCTCTATCCACTCAGCCAAACCAGCTAGGGCGAGAAGTGCAACTCTTAATTGACTTGAATTCTCATCTTGTAGATATTTTTCTTTAAAAGAGTTTTTTGCTTGCTTTTAGCATGGAGTCAGAACAAGGGAAGTTAACGATTCTGTTTAATGCAGAGATATTCTGATTGGGTATATCTCATGTAGGACTTGAGCATTCATACATACTTTAAATTTTGTGATCTTCAAGCCAAGGGTTCTGATTCAGTAGACCTGAAATTATAGTTTTCAAAACTTTGTGGGTGATTCTGATGCGTAGTAATAGAACCTGAATAGGACCACGTTCTCTTAATCACCTGTGTTGTCCATCTTTACTACTCAGGTAGATAGATGCATATGGTTCCCAGGAGATACCCTGTACCATAGATGGTGGTTAGAGAGGTGCTAACATCCTCTGGTTTTTTGGGTTTCTTTTTTTCTACTTTTTAGATTGATAATTCCTCCTTTTGTTTCCTCGGTGGTTCTTTAAGTAGGTTATGACAAAATATAGATTTTTTTGACTTCTAAGTTATACTCTGCTCTTAAATTATGCCAGATTAGAATTTTGGGTGTCCTAAACTTTTCTTTCTTGTACCGTCTTTTTGTGGTATCTGATATGTAGTAGTTTCCCCCCATCTTACATCCCCCCACCCCACCCCCCAAAAAAAGGTTTGGTTATGGAAGGAGGGAAAGCAGACCAGTTCTGATGGGTTGGGTATATTTCTCCTTTCTGTTGCTTAGGTTACTAAAAGAGATGAAGACTCTTCTCTGATGCAGTTAAAAGAAGAATTTCGGAGCTATGAGGCATTACGCAGAGAACATGATGCCCAAATTGTTCATATTGCTATGGAAGCAGGACTTCGTATTTCACCCGAGCAGTGGTCCTCACTTCTATATGGTGACTTAGCGCATAAATCACACATGCAGTCTATTATTGATAAGGTTTGTGAAATTAGAGATCCTAATCTATTGTTGTTACATTGGAAAATACTGGAATCTTCTGAAAGGACTAAAGAGACAACCAGTTGAAGATTCTATGTTTTTAAAAATCAGAGTCTTTTAATTATTATTATTATTTTTTTAAGTTTCAAAATAAACTAAGGGAGGCAATAGGGAAGCAAATACAGGATGAAAGCAGCTTGTCTTACAAAGTCTGTCATTCATCTACATTCCAACTCCAGAGAGCTAATACAGCTTATTAATGAGTTTTCTGAGTGTCTAATGATGAATTTCATAGGGCAGATTCTGAGGTGAAAATCTAATTCACCATTGATACTCCTACTATGGAGTCTGAAGACACTTGAAAACCTATTTAGTATATTGACTTAATGAAAGCATTTGAAAATAGATGTAAGAATTAGAGTAAAAACCATTCTGTCTTCTGTTTTGTTAGCTGCAATCTCCAGAATCATTTGCAAAGAGTGTCCAGGAATTGACAATTGTTTTGCAACGAACAGGTGACCCAGCTAACTTAAATAGACTGAGGCCTCATTTAGAGCTTCTTGCAAACATAGACCCCAATCCAGGTATGTTGGAAAATACTCAATTGCTTATGTTTTTTATAATAACAGAAGATAATTTCTGCTAACAAATTCTCTCCTCCATCCCATCTCCTTGGCTTATTTTAGATGCTGTTTCACCAACTTGGGAGCAGCTAGAAAATGCAATGGTAGCTGTTAAAACAGTAGTTCATGGCCTTGTGGACTTCATACAGAATTATAGTAGAAAAGGCCATGAGACACCTCAGGTAAGCACATTTATTGTACTTGTACCGTTATCTCTAACAGAGGTTCATCCTGAACATTTAACAAGCTATCTGGCTAATGCACTCTTTAAATGGCTCTACTCTCTTATAAGTTTTTATTGTCTATTCTTTTGGGAGAAACTCAAGTTGTAGTATACCTGATAAATAATTCAGAGCACAGCAACAGTTTGGATAGTATCTTGAATATGAATTTACTGCAGATGTCTTTTACCAAATGTAGATTATTGATTCCTTCCAAACATTTTATCTGATTCTTTTCTAATGTGGAGAAATTGTCACTTTTTTTCTTCATTTCTGTCAATGAATTTCTATTTGTAAGTATGTGGAAATTGAATTTTTAAAATATTTTCAGCCCTGGCCTGTGTGGCTCAGTTGGTTGCAAGTCATCCAGTGTACCAAAAAGTTGCTGGTTCAATTCACAGTTAGGACACATGCCCAGGTTGCAGTCTCCATCCCCAGTAGGGGGCATAATGATATTGTTTTTTCTCTGTCCCTCTCCCCCGCTCTCTTAAAAAAAAAAAATCAATAAAAATATTTTAAAACATGTTTTCAGTGTACTTTAGAAGGAGTTATTTAAGGTATAACTCCTTTATTCTAATAACATCTATTTATTATTTATTAACTTTTGTTGTTGTTAATCCTCACCTGAGGATATTCCCCCCCCCCTTTTTTTTTTTTAGAGAGAGAGTGGGAAGGAGGAAAGAAGGGGGAGGAAGGAAAAGAGAAAGGGAAACATCCATGTGAGAGAGACATCAATTGGTTGCCTCCTGCATGTGCCACGACTGGGGCTGGGGGTTTAACCTGCCACCCAGGTACGTGTCCTTAACCAGGAATCAAACCCCTGACCCTTCAGTGCATGGGCCGATGCACTAACCACTAAGCACACAGCCAGGGTGACATTTTTTTTATTAAGTTACTGTGAGCCAGTTCCTATGTTCAATATTTTACATATATTATTTCTAATTCTCACAGTCACTTGCAAGATAATTGCTATTCCCAAGTTGAAGCTTAAAATGGTTAAATAGCATATCTAAAGTCATGGTGGCGGTGACAGAGGTAGGATCAAATCTACTCCAAAGTGATCTTTCCAATCTTATATCCTTATTCCTTTAGAAGACATTATACTATTCAAACACCAACTGAAAGATAAATGTTTCATCTTTATTAAGGTCACAAAAATAACAAGGACATTTTAGATTTTAATGCAAATCATAGTAGGTATGATGAGGTTTTTATATTTTGTCTCATGTGAACTTAACTCTGAGCCTAAAAGAGAGTTGTACCCTCAACTTGACAAATAAATAGGTATTTCATAATTTTTCACTTTCAGGGGAAATCATATTCTACATATCCTGGGAAAGCTTAATTGAACAAACTTATGGCATTTAAATGCTTTTTTAAAGTTTTTGTTTGGTTTTGGTATAATTTTAACACAGCAGTGAATTGATGAGGAAATCTTGTCTTTTCATGGGCTTTGTGTTGACTGACAAATAAATAGACATAACATTTGAACCAGTTTCAGATAATCTCCAGAGGGAATGTCTAAAATGCCAACTCAGGGTTATGCCACGTAATTCTTAACAGGAAACAATGGAATGATAATTGTTTCAGCACAAGAATTACTTATATCTAATGTGAAAAAGAATTGAAGGTGTAGTCATGAAATTTTGAAGTCCCAAGAGTGAATAACACCTGGAATCTTCACTTTTCCACACACTGATTCTTTTTGTAGCCTCAGCCAAACAGCAAATATAAGACTAGCATGTGCCGAGATCTAAGACAGCAAGGAGGGTGTCCACGAGGAACAAACTGTACTTTTGCCCATTCTCAGGAAGAGCTTGAAAAGTAAGTTATGAGAATTCTGTTGCATATGGGTTTAATTGTGGGCCATTATGAAAGTGTTATATACAATCTTAAAGTTTGTGATGAGTTTTCACGATGCAATTAACTACCTTGTTGCTTCTGGGAGCAAGGTTAACGTAAGTTAACTAGCTGAAATACATGTTTCTGCTAAGCACCTGTGTAGAATGAAAATACTCCTATGTGCAATCTTACTTGCTCCAGTTCACTTGAAGATAACAGCAAAGGCCCAGGTAAATGGTAATGCAGATTTTCTTTTTATGACTTTTGGTCTTATTTTAACATTCTTTTTATGTATCTTTTCCTTTTCTCTTCTCCTATGGGTAATTAATTCCTTTTTCTATGTCCATTTACCCCAAACATAAAAGTAAATGGGTAAAAGCTATTTTATTTTATTATTTTTAAAAATATTTTTTATTGCTTTCAGAGAGGAAGGGAGAGGGAGAGAGAGATAGAAACATCAATGATGAGAGAGAATCATTGATCAGCTGCCTCCTGCACGCCCCCTACTGGGGATTGAGCCTGCAACCTGTGCATGTGCCCTTCACCAGAATCAAACCTGGGACCCTTCAGTCCGGAGGCCGATGCTCTATCCACTGAGCCAAACCAGCTAGGGCCTGAGTATCAACTTTTAATGGACCTCTCCCTTTTGTTTTTAGACACTTTAAACTCAGTTTGAGCTCATTTTCTAGTCCTATGCACCCTCCTCTTCTACCTTCCATTCTACTCTGCCCCAGTGTTCCCTGATCCAACCAGTTAATTCATGTCATGTTATAAGAATCATCTTTCTGTCAGCTTTCTTTCACCTGCTTGTCTTAATCACTAAGTTCTATCAGTTCCTATATATTTCTCAATTCTTCCTTCATCTTTCCATTCTTATAGTCCAAACTATCATCCCCTCTCCCCCCTTCTTTTAATCCTCGCCTGAGGATATTTTTTCCGTTGTTTTTTTTGTTTGTTTGTTTGTTTTTTAGAGAAAGTGGAAGGAAGGTGGTGGGGGAGTGAGAGAAACATCAATATGAGAGAGATTGATTGCCTCCTTCACTCATCCTGACCGGGACCAGGATCAAACCTGTCACCCAGGTATATGCCTAGACCAGAAATTGAACCTGCAACCCTTTGGTCTGAGGGCCGAAGCTCTAACCATCAGGGCTATCATCCCCTTTTCTTGATACACAGTTGCCTCCTAACTAGTTTTCTTTTTAAAAAAATATATTTTATTATTGATTTTTTTACAGAGAGGAAGGGAGAGGGATAGAGAGTTAGAAACATCGATGAGAGAGAAACATCCATCAGCTGCCTCCTACACACCCCCCACTGGGGATGTGCCCGCAACCAAGGTACATGCCCTTTACTGGAATTGAACCTGGGACCCTTCAGTCCACAGGCCAACGCTCTATCCACTGAGCCAAACCAGTCAGGGCCTAACTAGTTTTCTTACAGCTACTGTTGCCCACCCCAATCCCATTATTTCCCACAAAATAGGGAGAACTTTGCCATAAGACTCATTGTAGATACTTAGGTGTTTTCTCATTACTATATGGATAAAGATATAAAATCTTGATTGTGGCTCTAAGACCTTGCATCATCTAGTCTGTGCCTACCTTTCTGATAATCATCTCATAAACTAATCTGTTTATTTAAAAATGAGTTTTAATTTTTTTATTTCTTTTTTGTTGTTGTTAATCCTCACCTGAGGATATTTTTCCATTGATTTTTTAGAGAGAGGGAGAGACAGAGAGAAACATTGATGTGAGAGAGACACATCAATTGGTTGCCTCCTGCACGTGCCCCAACTAGGGCCCGGTCAGGGAGAAGCCTGCAACCGAGGTATGTGCTCTTGACCGGAATCGAACCCGGGACCCTTTGGTCCTCAGTCCGACGCTCTATCCGCTGAGCCAAACTGGCTAAGGCAGTGTTTTCATTTCTTTAAAATTATATAATTAACAAATTTTTAACAACAGAATTTTTTCAACTCTTGTATACCTTTCTCTTTATATTCCCAACTAAATTTTATATGGTTTATTTCATTTTTATTTAGTGTACTTTATATTCCAGATAGACAAACTTTTCAAAAGGATCTCTTCCCACTCCCTCATGAACCTTCTTTGGATGCATGTGTACTTTGCTTGCTATTAAATATGTGCCTATATGTACAGGTATCTGTGTGTAGATGAATGGCATATGTATTTTCATGTGGCATCTATTAGAGCAGAGTTTGATATAGACCGTATATGATATTTAGCTGAAGAAACTTTCAAAACTGTTTCCTCCTTTTTAAATCTTTTCCCATTGTCTTTTTTTTTAAGATATAGTGAAATAGTCATCAATACATTAATTGTTTTTAAAACAGGTATCGATTAAGGAACAAAAAGATCAATGCAACTGTAAGAACATTTCCTCTTCTAAATAAAGTTGGTGTAAGCAACACTGTCACAACCACAGCCGGAAATGTCATTTCTGTCATAGGAAGTACTGAAGCAACGGGGAAAATTGTTCCAAGTACAAATGGAATTTCCAATGCAGAAAACAGTGTTTCCCAGCTAATCCCACGTAATGCTGACAGTACATTAAGAGCTCTGGAGACTGTGAAGAAAGTGGGGAAGGTTGGCACTAATGGTCAGAATGCTGCTGGGCCTTCTTCAGAGTCGGTAACTGAAAAGTAAGTAGTAGGTAAAAATGCTTAATATGAGTTACTTAGACTTTGTAGAAATGCCTGAGTATTTTTATTTTTCCTGAGGAAAAGCAGTTAGTAGAAGTTTTATGTAGAATGTGTCATGTAGAAACAGTACTAAATTCCAAAATAATTTGAGTGCTAGTCCTGGCTCTGTAACTGAATAGCTTTGTGACCTTGGGAAGTCACTTTAACTTGGTTTTGTTTCCCTCAATCGTAAACTGAAGAGGTTGGACCAGAATTATGTTTTTTCACACCTTCTTTCCTTAAACTTTAGGGTTGAGTCCATGGAGGTGCCAGAAAGGAATTAAGTAGAAACCTAAGCAGGTGAGAGGCTTGAGCCTCCAGCTCCTGCTTTAATGAGAACAGTTCTAGTCTATATTCTGTAATGGTGTATAGAAATTAAGAGGGAAATCTTTGGAGCCAAACTCTCTGGTTTCAAATTCTGGCTGTTACTTAATCTGTTTTCCTCAGTTTACTCATCCATAGAGTTAGTATAATAATAGTACCTACTACTATTGTGAAGATAAAATGACTTAATACTGCAGTGTGCTTTGAACAACACCTGCCACGTAGCATTTAATAAATATCTGTTGTTATTATTATCATTATTATTGCCTCCATTATTGTTGTTGGATTTCAGCATAAGATTTAATTGGCAAAGGGGTTTTGGTGCTTTAAGAAAAATTTTTAAAACTTTCAGATGATCTGAAAAGTTCCACCTCTAAAATTTCATGCTTTGTTATTCTTTTATTTTAAAATCCAAGTTAAAGCATGTTCAGATTTTGTCACCCATATCTAGTGTGTCAGTATCTAGTATATACCTTCTAGGAAAAAAACTTTACGCTAGGTTTATGCTAGGCACACAGTAAACTGATGGTGATTTCATATAATAAATGATGGGTAAGTAAGCATTTATATTTTTTATTTCTGCAGTTAGCATGTCATAGGGGAATTTGTTTATTAAACGATCATTATACTCTTACCTCGGGGAGATTTCAGAAATTATATATATCAGAGAACATTGTCTAGTTAGCAAATGTTACTTGCGCACTCATTCTGAATTCTGTTCTTGGCACTCTTGAAAATACATGAGATGTATAAGATATCTCTGTCTTGTAAAAACAAGATGATATAGTTTTGAAGACAGCATTTACATAAATGAAGCAACATTGGAGCTACATACAAAAGGCCACATAGTGTATATTTCCATTTATTTGAATGTCCAGAATAGGCAAATCTATATAGACAGAATGTAGATTAGTGGTTCCTAGGGGCTAGGGCCAGGGAAAAAGGGAATGGGGAGTGAATACTAATGAGTACAGGTTTCTCTTGGGGTTGATGAAAATGTCTCAAAAATAGATAATGGTAATAGTTGTATATCGTGAATATACCAGAAATCACTTACGTGCATACTTTAAAAGGGTAAATTATATCTCATTTTAAATATGATGGACCAGGAGGAAACTTTTAAAATAAATTAATACAAATAAATAAATCATATATTTATTCAATCAAGAATTATGGGTCTTCTATGTGCCAAACACCAGGCCAGCTGGTGTAGTAATGATAATGAACTGGATATACTTCCTGCCTCTAAAGGTCTTCTCGTGTAGTTTAAGAAACAGATGTAATATATAATATATTGTGAAAGGTACTGTAATGGAGTTGTGTTCCAAGTGTTTTTGGACATTAAAAAAAGAGTAACTGATTCTGCAGGGAGTCACTGTGAAAGGATTCTCAGATGTTAAGGCAATGAGCTGGTTCCAAAAATATGGATAGTCAGGAAGGAGTGGCTTCATCAATAGAAGGGGCACAGCTAAGAGCATGTCTGTATGAGAGGGGCTGCAGCAAAGGAGAGCCTAGAATCCTGAAAGTCATCCACAGCTATAGCCATCTAGCTGTCTGACTGAAAGTTGGTTTTTTCCTTAAGTCTGAATTGTTGGGGCAGCTTGCAGGATTTCTTGAGATCATGAACCTTGTCATGGATTTTGATGTCTTTTTCTTGATACATCTAAGAAATTTTTTTTTTAATATATTTTATTGATTTTTTACAGAGAAGAAGGGAGAGGGATAGAGAGTTAGAAACATCAATGAGAGAGAAACATCGATCAGCTGCCTCCTGCACACCCCCTTGAGGATGTGCTCACAACCAAGGTACATGCCCTTGACCGGAATCGAACCTGGGACCCTTGAGTCCGCAGGCCGATGCTCTATCCACTGAGCCAAACCGGTTCGGCAATGGGGATGTGCCCGCAACCAAAGTACATGCCCTTGACCGGAATCGAACCTGGGACCCTTGAGTCCGCAGGCCGATGCTCTATCCACTGAGCCAAACCGGTTCGGCAATACATCTAAGAATTTTTCATCTCAAAGTACTGACCCATATTTATAGTATATAACATTTTGATATGAAAGGATCAGATAATCTTTGTAAAAACACTTAGCATATTGCCTAGAGTGCTCTCAATAATTGCTCAGTAAGTGTTATTTGTTATAAGGAAATTCTCATCATTTCCTTTGTTGCCTTGATTATTTTACTTCAAAGACTAAATATAGCTCTAAAATATCTTTGAACTCTAAGTCAGTATATTTCTATCAAATATTACCCCACTGTTCTTTATTTCCTACATTTTAATACCCAATTACACATAGAAGTAAACATTTACTGGACTTAAAGGCAGCACATTCTCCTTGTTGTTGTTACTCCAGCTTTAAAGGGGCTTCTCTAGTTTGAGAAAACACTTCTAATTTAGTTGAGATACAGCGTATTGAATTTCTGTATCATTAATAAGATCATTTCCTTGAGTCACCACATGTCAAGCTCTGCTAAAGTTTGGCTTTTTTTTTTCATAATGTTTTAATTTTTCAGTTACAGTTGATACACAATATTATATTAGATTCAAGTGTACAACATAGTGATTAGATATTTATATAATTTACAAAGTGATCACCCCATCTGTCACCATTCAATATTATAATATTATTGACTTTATTTCCTACTAGAGGCCGGTTGCATTAATTCATGCACAGGTGGGGTCCCTTGACCTGGCTGGCAATCAGGGCCAATCGGGGCAGACTGGCCAGGGGGAGGGACCGCGGGAGGTTGGCTGTGGGAGTGCACTGACCACCAGGGGCAGCTCCTGCATTGAGCATCTGCCCCCTGGTGGTCAGGTCACATCATAGCGGCCAGTTGTCCAGTCCTAACAGCAGCTTAGGCTTTTATATATATAGATGATATACTTTACATGCTCGTGACTATTTTGTAACTACCAATTTATACTTCTTAATCCTTTCTCCTTTTTATCCATCACCCCAATTCCCCTTCCATCTGGCAAGCATCAAAATGTTCTCTATATCTATGAGTTTGCTTCTGTTTTGTTTGTTCATTTATTTTTGCTTTTTTTAGATTCCACATATAAGTAAAATCATATGGTATTTGTCTTTCTCTATCTGACTTATTTTACTTAGCATACATAATACCCTCTGGGTCCATCCATGTTGCTGCAGATGGCAAGATTTCATTCTTTTTTTTTTTAACTGAGTAATATTCCATTGTATATATGTACCACTTCTTCTATATTCATTCATCTATTGAGGGGCACTTAGGTTGCTTCCATATCATGGCTGTTATAAATAATGCTGCAATGAACATATGAGTGCATATGTCTTTTCTAATTAGTGTTTGGATTTCTTCGGGTAAATACCCAGAGTGGAATTGCTGGGTCCTTCTTTGTCTCTTGTTGTAGCCTTTGTTTTAAATTCTGTTTTGTCTAGTATAAGTATTGCTACCCTAGCTTTTGTTTGTTTTTATTTTTATGAAATATCTTTCTCCATCCCTTTACTTTCAGTCTGTGTGTGTCTTTCCAACTGAAGCGAGTCTCTTGTAGAAAACATATGAAGGGTCTTATTTTCTTATTCATTTAGCCACCCTGTGTCTTTTGGTTGGAGCATTTAATCCATTTACACTTAAGGTAATTGTTACTAGATGTGTAGTTATTGCCATTTTATTATTCATATTAGAGGCCTAGTGCATGAAATTCGTGCACTCGGGGGGGAGAGGTCCCTCAGCCCGGCTTGTGCCCTCTTGCAGTCCGGGGCCTCGCTGCTTCTTAGCGCTGCTGCGGAGGTGGGAGAGGCTCTATGCTCACCAGCCGTCAGCCCAGCTTCTGGCTGAGCAGCGCTCCCCCTGTGGGAGCACACTGACCACCAGGGGGCAGCTCCTGCATTGAGCATCTGCCCCCTGGTAGTCAGTGTTCGTCAGAGCAACTGGTCATTCCGCAGTTCGGTCTATTTGCATATTACCCTTTTATTATATAGGATTTTTAAAATATTTTTTTCTTCTATTCTTAAAGAAGTCCCTTTAACATTTCTCCTAATACTGGTTTGGTGGTGGTGGTGCACTTTTAGCTTTGTCTTATCTGGGAAAAGTTTGACTTTTTAAATTTTTACATTTTAACTTTGTATTTATTGAATTTAGAGAGGGGGAAGAAAAGAGATAGAGAGACATCGATTTGTTGTTCCACATATTTATGCATTCATTGGTTGATTCTTGTATGTGCCCTAACCTGAGGGCTAAACCTACAACCTGGTCAGGGCTAAAACTTTGACTTCTTAAAAGCCATGATGAGGTCCTTTGGAGCTGATTGCTTGGTGACTCAACAAAGAAAATCCTTTGTGGGTGTTTTTTTTTAAAGATAAAAAGTTTGCGTATGTTGTGTTAATTTAATGAGTAGCTATTTCATTGGAGTTTTGTTCATCCAACAGATATTTACTACATGGCAAGAACTGTTTCATTTGTCCAACAAATGTTTATTTAGTGCCTTCTGTGTGCCAGGAACTGTTCTAAGTCCTGGAGAGATAGCAGTTAACAAAATGGCTGTTCCTCTGTGTGTTTATATTTCAGCTAAGCTAACTCTTAATAGAACAACCCTTTTCATATCTGTCTTCTTTGTCCGTAAGAAAACTACTGGTAGACTATGTTGTTTCTGTTGAAAACTTACTGAAAAAGGAATTTTTTAAATTTTTCAATAGGAAAAATTTTTGTTCAAAAGCAAGTGAAAGGAGACTGATGGGTCACATTAGTGCCTGGGATTTGTTTGTATTTCTTTTTGTTCTTATCAGAGATCTGTCACGATGCTGCTGTGAGTTAGCAATGTTAGGTGGCAATGAAGTTCATTGCCTTAGTTGTTACTATGGAAATTCATAAAGTATCTTTCTATTAGTTGTTTTGCTATATAATTACAAAAAATGTCTACTGAGGAAGACTTAAGAGTCATAGACAGTGATTCATCATTTGCTTTTTGTTAAATTTTCTCTCCAGTAAAATTGGTTCTCCACCCAAGACTCCTGTAAGCAGTGTAGCAGCTACCTCAGCTGGGCCCTCTAATGTTGGAACAGAACTGAATTCTGTGCCTCCAAAATCCAGCCCATTTATAACTAGAGTACCAGTATATCCTCAGCATTCTGAAAACATTCAGTATTTTCAAGATCCAAGAACTCAGATACCCTTTGAAGTCCCACAGTACCCACAGACAGGTAAGTAATTTTAGACAGTTCTAAGAAAAAAAGAAACTGTAATATAACATTTGTTGACCTTAGATAAGTAAGTTAATAATTTATGTCTATCTAGAGTATTTGCACTTAAAAAATAATCCTTTGGACTTCATGACCCCTAAATTTCTTTTTTGCCCTAAGAATATATAATTCTACATACAAATAGTTTTATAGTTGTCATTCTTATGAACTAAATATAGGGTCCATAGAAGAGCTTCAGGGAGTTCTGTAAATCCCCTGAAATGATATACAAAATGTTTGGTTTATATATTTAGGTGTAATTTTGGAAAGACAACACACAACTTATATAGATTTTGAAAAAGGTTTTAACCTCGGCTCCCAACAAGGTTAAGAATCGAAGATGTAATTATAATTACTGAATTCAAAACCTGTGGGAATAGATGCCCTAGAAGGAAATTTACCAACCATCTGTTAATAGCTGTATCATGTGTTTTTAGAGAACAAAGTAATGAATGTTAATGATTTTCATATAGTGGTGTCTTGAGAGGGTATAGCTTCTTTCAAAAGCAGGGGTAACTAAAGTAAGGTCAAAGCTTATTTTATTTTCCCACATTAAAGATTGCTTTAGACTTAAACCATTATAAAATGTTGAATTTTACTAAGATTACATTAAATATTCCTCTTTCCAATTTTTAAGGATACTACCCACCACCTCCAACGGTACCAGCTGGTGTGGCTCCCTGTGTTCCTCGCTTTGTGAGGTCCAATAATGTTCCAGAATCCTCCCTCCCACCTGCTTCCATGCCATATGCCGATCATTACAGTACATTTTCCCCTCGAGATCGAATGAATTCTCCTTACCAACCTCCTCCTCCGCAGCCATATGGACCAGTTCCTCCAGTACCTTCTGGAATGTATGCTCCTGTGTACGACAGTAGGCGCATCTGGCGTCCACCTATGTACCAACGAGATGACATTATTAGAAGCAATTCTTTACCTCCTATGGATGTGATGCACTCGTCTGTCTATCAGACGTCTTTGCGAGAAAGATATAACTCCTTAGATGGGTATTATTCAGTGGCTTGTCAGCAGCCAAGTGAACCAAGGACAACTGTGCCTTTACCAAGAGTAAGTGATGATGGAAATAGGAATGCTGCTGTAGTGTAATGGCTAAGAACCCAATGTCTGGTGTCAAACCACCCAGGTATATATCCTCGCTCCTCCACTTACTATGTGACGTATGGAAGTTACTTGACTTCTCTATGTTAGTTTTTTCATCTGTTTGATGGAAATAATAGTAATACTTACCTCATAAGGCTGTTGTGAGGATTAAATCAGAAAAACAAAGCTCTTAGAACTGGACCTGATACATATACATGCTCAGTAACTGTTGTTTGGATAGGAAACTGATGGGAAGGTAAAAAGAAATCTTCAAAATACAGGAATAGGGTTTATTTTCAGTGTCCCCACATTCATACAAATGACTTTCCAAAACCCAAAAGTGAGTGCTCAGATTTTACTTTAATATACCTTGACCCTTTCATTTAATTGTGTAGAGAATAGGCTAGGATGACTTCCCTATTGTATTTTTTGTCCCAAATATATAATAAATTGTTTATTTCCACAGAATATAATTAAATTTATTTACTGCTCCCTACATGATTAAGATTGTTTCTTTTATCCCCCCTTAGGATCCTTGTGGTCATTTGAAGACCAGTTGCGAGGAGCAGATAAGAAGAAAGCCAGAACAGTGGGCACAGTACCACACTCAGAAAGCACCTCTTGTCTCTCCAGCTCTTCCTGTGGCAACACAGTCTCCAACACCACCTTCTCCTCTGTTCAGTGTAGACTTTCGCACTGACGTAAGCAAGGTTTCAATCACTTGATGCAGGGATAGGTCAAACAGCTGACTTCAGAGCACTCGTTCAATCCAGGCTTAGCTGTGGTGGCTATTCTGCAGTGGTTTGGTCCGCAGCTGAATTTAGTTCAACACATGTTAAATTTGTAAGCATTATCGATAGATTTTATGAGACACTGAAGACCTTTAGGACACAGTCCTTTTTTCACCAAGAATTCAAAATCTTTTCAGCAATATAGTTCTCATTATTTTTTATGGTTTTAATAATAGCATTTATATCTGCCATTTATTGAGCACCTACTTGTGCCAGACACTGTACTAAGCATTACATAATGTTATTTAATTCTCACAAAAACCTTAGGAGGTAGGTGCTATCCATATTGTGCAGGTTAGGAATCCTACCCAGAGAAGTTAAGTAATTTGCCCAACTAATAAATTCAGTCTATAAGTAGCTGAGATTCGAATCTTGGTCTACCTGAGATATTTCTTCCCTACTTTACAAAAGGTGCAGAATGCCTACTGTATTATTCCTGGTGTTTTACATCACTGTAAATTATTGTTCTTGTCATCACAAAACAAGTTTTTAAACCAGGATCATTTCAGTGTACTCTGGTGTTTTTAGTACTGTTATCTTTAAACACACCATTTTTTAAAAACTCCTCTAGTTTATTCTCCATCCCTAGAGTTTCTAATATAAAAAGTTTTTTGAGTCTCTTCCTTATTAAAACTTTTAAACAAAAGTAGAGAGGATATATAATAAACCCATGTGCCCTCACCTGGATTCCACAGTTACCAACTCAGTGAACCTTATTTGAACCCCCTCTTCCTACTGAATTATTTTGAAATAATCCTAGACATCAAATATTTTCATCCATGAACGTTTCTTTTTTTAGCTTTAAAAAAAATGTATTTTTTGATTTTAGAGAGGGAAGGAGAGCGAGAAACAGAGATTAATTGACCCATCTATTTTATGCATTCATTGGTTGATTCTTGTATGTGCTCTATCTGGGGATCAAACCTGCAACCTTGGTGTATCGGAACAATGCTCTAAGCAACTGAGCGACCCAGCCAGGGCCCATCCATGGATATTGCAATAAACTATTGAATTTTAAAACTAGATCCAAATTTTTTTCATCAAACTTAAGACTTCTTTTTTTTTTTTTAATATATTTTATTGATTTTTTACAGTTAGGAAGGGAGAGGGATAGAGAGTTAGAAACATCGATCAGCTGCCTCCTGCACACTCCCTACTGGGTATGTGCCCACAACCAAGGTACATGCCCTTGACCGGAATCGAACCTGGGACCCTTGAGTCCGCAGGCTGACACTCTATTCATTGAGCCAAACTGGTTAGGGCCAAACTTAGACTTCTTAAGACCAGGTAAATATCTTAACAACAGAGTGATAGATTTGCCACTTGCTTAATAATAGAAAACTGGATTTACATTTTTTATACTATGCTTTTGAAAGTATTTCCCTGAGACTCAGATCTGCTATTAATAATATGACTTGGGATAAGTAATTTAATCTTTTTGGCCTTGAGTTTCTTATCTATTTAATTAATAAACTAGATTTAATGATTCTTTCAACTTTAGTATTCTTGTTCTACAGTTATCCTTATAGTCTCTCTAAAATTTATCCACTTCCCCTTCTAGTTCCAGAGCCTTGTTTGCATTATTTTTGTTCTTTATTTAATACTGTATGGTTTATCAGTTATGTTTCCTTATTTCCTTATTCTTTTCTCCAAATGATAAACTACTTTAGGACATGGACTGTAATCTATGTGTATGTTTGTTTCCTTTTTTTTTCTTTTCTGGAGCACCTTACACCATGTTAGAGGCATGCTATAAATGATTTGTTGATTGGCTTTAATAGTATCAGTCAGGGATTCCTAATGAGCACTTAAAGATAAAGTAAAAGGAGAAGACATTCTATTTTCTATTACTAAATAATATAAAGACAAATAGTAAAAATACTATGTGTTATTTATGACAGTTTTTTTAGTCACTGAAGTTTTAATTATTCACTGTGAAGTCCTCTGTATTCTATAGTAGTTGCTTAATAGTTACAAGTGTATAAATTTAAGGTTTTTTTTTACTAATTGGCTGTGCCTTTTTCTATTTTTTAATCAGCTCTCTGACAGTGTGAGTGGGACAAAATTTGAAGAAGACCATCTTTCCCATTATTCTCCCTGGTCTTGTGGCACCATAGGCTCCTGTATAAATGTCATTGATTCAGAGCCCAGAGATGTGATTGCTAATTCAAATGCTGTGTTAATGGTATGATTCCAGGGGCTGGGAGGCTATTATGCATGTTGACTCAGGTTTTAGAATGTTTGAATACTTTCATCTTCATTGTTGCTATAAGTCTGAACTGAATTGAATTTAATGTTTAAATTATTTGAGCCCAGTTTGATGGTTTAAAATAGATGTTGGATTGTCATTGAGATCTACAGCTAGTGTTGAATTTAGCAGAAAACTTAATTACATGTCTTTTGAAAGCATGTGCTTGTAATACTAGCTGAAGTAATTGCCAGTAATCCTATTACTGATTTTCTTTGGTTTATGCAGGACCTAGACAGTGGAGATGTTAAGAGAAGAGTACATTTATTTGAAACTCAGAGAAGGACAAAAGAAGAAGACCCAATAATTCCTTTTAGTGATGGACCTATCATCTCAAAATGGGGTGCAATTTCCAGATCTTCCCGTACAGGTTACCATACCACGGATCCTGTCCAGGCCACTGCTTCCCAAGGAAGTGCGACTAAGCCCATCAGCATATCAGGTAACCCATTTAACTAATACCTCACCTGATATACTCTAGCACAGTGTGTTTTTTGTTGTTGTTTTTGTTTTGTTTTAATATATTTTTATTGATTTCAGAGAGGAAGGGAGAGAGAGATAGAAACATCATTGATGAGAGAAAATCATTGATCAGCTGTGGCCTGCACCCCCCTACCCCCACCCTGGGGATCTAGTTGGCAACCCGGGCATGTGCCCTTGATCAGAATTGAACCCAGGCTGCAGAACTTCAGTCTGCAGGCCGACGCTCTATCCACTGAGCCAAACCAGCTAGGGCAGCCCTGGTTTTTGACTATTTATTTATTTATTTATTTATTTATTTTCCCCATCACCATTTATCGCCTCTGTGCCCGCTTTCACCTCCACTCCCACATCCCACCCCACAGTTACCACACTGTTGTCTGTGTCCATGAGCTTTCTCTCTGTCTGTCTCTCTCTTTTTTTTTTCATCTCAGTTCCTCCCGTCTCCCATCCCCCAGGCTGTCTGCCTGCTCTTTATTTATGAGTCTGTCTCTATTTTGCTTGGTAGCTCAGTTTGTTCATTAAATTCCACATATGGTACTTGTCTTTCTCTAACTGGCCTATTTCACTTAGCATAATGTTCTCCAGGTCCATCCATGCTGTTGCAAAGGATAAAGTTTTCTTTAGCTTTTTGTTTTTGTTTTGTTGTTATCTTTAGCATTTTTTTTTTAATCCTCAATTTAACAACCACAGGAAACTCAGAATTAAATGGTTTAGCCAGGAGAACATGGCTCGTTGGATAAAATATGGATCTTTTGAAAAGTATCCCATTCATGCCCTAACCGGTTTGGCTCAATGGATAGAGTGTCGGCCTGCTGACTGAAGGGTCCTGGATTCGATTCCGGCCAAGGGCACATGCCTGGGTTGCAGTCTCAATCCCCAGTCACAGGCGTGCAGAGGCAGTCAATCAATGATTCTCTCTCATCATTGATATTTCTCTCTCTCCCTTCCTCTCTGAAATCAATAAAAACATATTAAAAATAATAATAATAAGTAAATCTTTTTTAAAAAAAGTATTCACATGTAGATACTGATTTTTCACTTTTCTGGTCATTGTTTCTTTCTACATTTCTGTAGATTATGTCCCTTATGTCAATGCTGTTGATTCAAGGTGGAGTTCTTATGGTAGTGAGTCCACATCATCAGCGCACTATATTGAACGGTAAGGTTACTCTTAATTCTTTAGGATTTTCTATTCTCAGACTTGTATATATCCTCAGAGTACAGATTCTATCCCCAATTATTCATAAAATATGCTTTGCTAGTTTTAACTATGTAACAAATTTCTGAAAAAATATTTACTTTTACATTTGGAATAATGACTGAAATTTTCAGGATTGATCTGTTACATAAAACATATGTAGAATATAGTTATTACTGCTTTAGCTGCTTCACTTATTTCACTTTTATTACAATAAACATATTTCTCTTTAAAGGGACAGATTCATTGTTACTGATTTATCTTGTCATAGAAAGCATTCCAGTACTGGAGACCTTTTAAGCATTGAACTTCAGCAGGTAGGTTCTGTGTCACTCAGCTTTGACTTTTTAAAAAATAGAATGGTGGTTGGAAGCTAACTTTACTTTTCACCCCCATCTAGGCCAAGAGTAACTCATTGCTTCTTCAGAGGGAGGCCAATGCTCTGGCCATGCAACAGAAGTGGAATTCCCTGGATGAAGGCCGTCACCTTACCTTAAATCTACTAAGCAAGGAAATTGAATTGAGAAATGGAGAGGTAAAGAAAGTGAGCCTACCAGCTTCATGTTTAAATGGATTTGTTGTTTGCTGTTGCTGTGCATAGGTTTATGTCCTTACTTAGTGCATTTTAGTGTGCCTTTTTCTCATATGCTTGCTTTTAAAACTTAACAGTAGCAATAAAATTGTGGTCCCAGATTTCTTAAATAATTTTTTAGATCAATCATTGGGATTCCCACTTAAATTTAAAAGGGAAGCCCCAGTTTCCACAGGTATAAAATCATTATTTTTTTTACATTACAGAGTGATTATACAGAAGATGCAACTGATACTAAGCCTGATAGGGATATTGAATTAGAGCTTTCGGCACTTGACACTGATGAACCTGATGGACAGAGTGAACAAATTGAAGTAAGTAACACAGGTAGATGTTTAGGAGGCTTTATTCCATTGGCAACTAAAATAAAATACTTATACTGAAGGATTAACACTTTATTTTCTTAGGAGATCCTGGATATACAACTTGGTATCAGTTCTCAAAATGATCAGTTGCTGAATGGAACTGCAGTGGAAAATGGGCATCCAGTCCAACCGCACCAAAAGGAGCCACTGGAGCAGAAGAGACAGAGTTTAGGTGAAGACCATGTGATTCTGTGAGTGTTAGACAGAAAATTCATAACTATGAATATTTAAAGTGAAATAGATGCGGTGTTTAATTCATTTTTGGTTCTTTTTTATCCTGTGAGGGGAAGATCTTATGTAATGGGCAATGATTTTGGTCAGTCTAAATTTTTAGGAGAGAATAACTAAATTTGAACTAACAAAGTAGTCCGTTTTAGTAGCCTGAAATTTACTTTTGTGGGGGGGGGGGGGTAAAAATTAGTCTTTGTGCTCTAGCATCAGGTTATACTCCTCAGTCTGATAGCCAGTCTTATAAACTACAAAACGGAGAGTTAAAACCTATATGAAGGGTTTCCCTTTTTAAAAATCTTGGTAAGAGAACTTGGTTTTAATATTGCCGCTGTGTATAATTACTGTAAAAAATATGGGCTAATCTTAAACTTGATAGTTTGTTAGCCTGAAATTACCCAGTATTTTTATTATTGGAATAATAGAACATTTTTAGTGATCTCTGATACTTTTTAGTATTAAAGACATGCCTTTGAAGTTTGGTATAACTTTTCACATATGTATTAATTTTTCACTTAAAGCTAATTTGTTTTCAATGTCATTTATTTTTTTTCTCAGGGAGGAGCAAAAAACAATTCTGCCGGTAACGGCTTGCTTTAGCCAGCCACTTCCAGTGTCCATTAGCAATGCAAGTTGCCTCCCCATCACCACATCTGTCAGCGTTGGCAACCTCATTCTGAAAACTCACGTTATGTCTGAAGATAAAAATGACTTTTTAAAACCTGTTGTTGCAAATGGGAAGATGGTTAACAGCTGAAAGGAGATTCATCTTTCAAATTTGTGACCATACCATGGAAGCATTTACACTAGCTTTTTATATATATAATATATATTATATAATGTATATTTTTTTTAAAAAAAAGATATTACTGGGGGCATCCAGTTCCTGTGGACTCTTTGATACTTCAAGCCCTCTTGCATTAGCATTATGAAAAAAGAAAAAAAGAAAATTTACTAGGGTGTAACATGTTCACTTTCCAGAAGTGATTGGAATTTGGACATTTAACTTAAGCTTCAAGCAGCTTTTTATGAGTTTGTAGCAATCCGGTGCAGTAACTGAGCCATTTCCTATTTTAAATGGCTTCTATAGAAAATTAACAACTCAGTTATTAAACTAGCAGGATCCTACAATGATACATCTAGTGAAAGTAGACTTAATTAACTTATTTATTTCTATTTTATGTTTCACTAAGAGAAATTTCCATCTCATTCCAGCTGCTTTATTTATCTTTTTCATGGGACTTTGCATGAATTTTTTTATTTTTGTTTTTTACTTTGAAGAGTGGAGTTAGATGTTCTTACCATAGAATTTTGCAGGGTTATATACTAGCTTTCTTTACTGCATTATATGTAGGATTGTGGTGCAGTGCTTTTATCTGTAGCATTTAAATATTTTTTAATTTTCCATTTTTCAATAATAGTTTCTGCTTTGTTAATATTTATACACAGGCTACTTGTTGAAGTAATTAAATATATAACCAAGTGCCTAAGTCTTTCAGCTGATGTACTAGATATTAAATTCTCCTAAGTTATGCAGAATCGTTTTTACAATTTTGATAAATTATGCACTAATGTAATGGCAGTTTTTTAAAATGCAGATTTAAGCCTGTACATTATTGATTCTGATGACTTGGCAAAAGAATCAGGTGCTTTCAGCTTTCTTGAGAAAACCCTGTATGTAGCGTTTGCACTGACTAACAAGATGGTATTGCTGGGTTTTTAATTTAAACTAATTATTTTGGATGTTCATTGCATTATCTTGGTTAAATATTGTTTATTGTTACTTGATGTTGGGGTTTAATTTTCCCTTTTTTTTTTTACTGTTAGGTTGATAAGACTATGAACCATGTAATAATAGAACATTGGCTAACCTTTATTCATACTTAAAAACATGAATAATTTCTGCCCTGCTAACATGTGTTTTGACTTGGCATCTGAAAGTATGCAGTATATTCAACTAGGCATACCCCAGATTTTTTGGAGGTATTTTATTGAAACCTAAATTTCAGTCAACATGTGAAAGCAAAAGCTGGGCATTCCTTCCTGGTGATCTTACCTATGGTTTGTTTTCCCCCATTTCTTTAAGATTAGTTTGACTTTTATTACTATTTTTTTAATTAACTTCTGTGAAGTTGTTTACTCTGAAAATTGTACTGGAATATTTTAAGCCAAGCTGATCTTTCACCAGGTGTACTGTATGTAAGGGCTTTTCCTGCTAGCAAAATGCTTAAACAGGATCATGTTATTGGTCGTCTGAGCTATTTAGTTGTTTTACAAAACCACAGCATTGTATCAGATAAGATTTTGATAAAAAGTTTTGTGCGCATTTCCAGGGCCGGGAGGGTTCACATTTCCCTGAAATTTCTTGATCAGAATGAGTAAATACTGGTGTTTGATACCTGTCTTAATGAACATGCTCATAAGGTGACTGATAAGTTGTAAATATACCTGAGAAACAAAGGGGTAGTTTTGATATTCTGGTGTCAGTATGGAAGATCTTACACATTTATTTAATACTCAACTGTATGAAGATGTTTGTAACATAACAGCACAGTAGCCTTGACTTAGTTTCCTTCGGTTATTAGTACTGTACGTTTTTGCCATGGCCAGTGCTCCCTATCCCTACAAAGACATTTTATTTATTTCACTCTGTAACCTGAAATGCATAGGAACAAGAGTTTTAAACCATGTTACATTAACTTATTTCTGACATTATAAATTAGCCTAGGATATTACAGGAACATGATTGTTATGTAATTTATATCAGAACCTTTCTATAAATATGCGCTTATTACATTTGAAATGCTTCCAATGTACTTTATTTGCTGTTTGTGTTTCCAAAAAGGATATGCAAACCATAATGTCTATTTCATGGATATTTAAATAGTGAGATCTTCCATGTTGAAGGTAATGTATTTTTTTTTAAGATTTAAAAATTGCTATTTTGTTACAAAATAGATACCTATTAACAGTTCGAGAGCTCCTTATGTGCCCTCAGGGAAAGAACCCTCTGTGCAACAGAACTACGCAAAACATCTTCAGCACGCTCTGAGGGTGGATATATACTACATAAATTGATCTTGTGTATTTAACCATATCTTTTTAATTTTAAAATCAAGATTTTGAAACGTGGTTGTGCTCTTCTGGAGGGGGTTGGGATAAACTGCTTAGGTGTTTGCCTACTTGTCCAGTGAAATTACATTTGCATCAGTGTATTTTATATACCTGCCAACCTTATTGGTATGTCTCAGAACATTAATATTAAAATAATGCTTGTCTTGCAGCAGGTGATCCCATAAAACAATAACTCCCTGTTCTTAAAAACTTACTCTCATTCTCACTAACAACATAGGAATTGTTTCTGTGTGGGATTATTCTGTATGGCATTCTTTATGTAATAGCTATCTTGTTTCTCATGGGTTTAATGTGAAGTAAAGACATTGATTCTCTGCCACTTTAGAAGAAAGTTCAGTTTATCTGATCCTTCTTCAAAATGGTACCTGCTGATGCCATAGAAGAAAAAACACAAATCAGACATAAGATGAGACTTTTTAAAATTGGGGGCCATCCCTGTCATTTGACCCTTTTACCAACATGTGATGTATGTATGTTAGAAATCAAAGGATATAAAGCATTCGGAGAAGAAATTTATAATATTGGTGACTAAATTGCATGTGTTACCTATGCTCTAATTAGAAAACAGTAGTCTGAGGTCTGGAAAGTGGGAAATGGTGTTTTGTTTGTTTTTGTTGTTGGGTTTTGTTTTTCCACTGTTTATGTTTTTGTTTTTCAATTTCTAAGTCCCATTCTGAAGTCCATGTGCCTCATTTAGATACTGTGAATGTAGCATCAGTAGTTCTCTTTTGTTGTTTAATTTTATTTTGTAAATTCTGAGGAAGTTACACATGTATTTCTGAACAAAGCAGATTTCCTTGTCTTTGCTGCCATGACTTCATCTTTCAATACCACCTGATATACCACTGTCGTGCGTGAAAGTTGTGTATTGTATTTTCAAGAGAAGGTACTTCATTGGGTCAGTGGCCCTGATTTTTTCATAGAAGCTATTTATTCTCACAAGAGAATGAAAGAAACCTAATCTAGGACCGAAAATTTCCATTAGTGTTGCTGTAGTCACTTTCACTCAAATTTCAAGTTCTTAGTAGTGGGGCAAAAGTAAGCTCACAGTTGATCATAGAAATCTGTGAACAACTGTAAACTTACTTTTGCCCCACCCTGTTACATAAAGCACATTCCAATTTTATATGCTACCTTGAGAAAATGACAGGATGCACAGCAGTTTGTAGGAATTTAAAATGGGATCATTTAAACATTTGAAAACATTGTTTTAAAAGCCATCTAACTTGTTTTTCTTTTTTCTTTTCTTTTTTTTTTTTTGCATTTTAGATGTTAAAGTCATGGTTATCTTGTTAATGGGTGGAATTTGTGATGATCAGATTCAGCATGTGATTTCAACTTGGAATCTGAATATTTCTTCCCTAGTTTCTTTGAGTCATTTTCTGAGCAGACTGTCACCAGTTTTGGTGACTAGTCATTATAGGGGAAAATTACACTGCAACTATGTATTAGTTAACTGGAAGAACTTGTCTTGTGTTTTAGAGAATGAAGAGTGTTGATGGGATCACTTACTGTAACTCCTACATAAGAACCCCTTCTGCAAGCAGAACAAAAATTAATATGCTCAAGGAGTATCCCGTTTTCTGGATAAATTGAATAAATTTGCTAGTTACTCCTTTATACTAGCGGTTTCTTTGTATCCCTTTGCTGGCGAGGGAATACAAGGTATCAAGGCCACTGGTCAGAGCACTCTACATTTGAGTGGATCTTATTTTTACTCCAAGAGCAGTTATTCCCCCAAGTCCAAAATTGGCAGTTGTGGTTTTTGTTTTATATAAAAATTTAAAAATATCTCCAAACCAGTGGAATACAGACACTGGCTGCACTTAGTACTGCCAAAAGACAAGGTCATTTGCATATATTCCATGGATCTGTCAAGAATTAGGCCTCACTTTATAACCCAAGGCATGGAAGTGCATGCATTCTCTTAGCTGGGCAAACAATTATACTGTAGTTGTGATACAACACATGTGGCTTTTATTTGTACTGCACATATCCACTGTACAGCCACTTGGGAGTATCGTGGTTAGCTTACAGCAACTGCTGTCTGCATTTATACTGTTTATTGCATATTCTTTTCCCTGGAAGTGAAAGAGAAATGTTTTTCTTGTTGCATTGATTACATTTTATAAATTTGCTTAGCTGGAAAGTTTGGGAAAAGAGGCCTGTTTGTCAATTGTACAACCGATTGTGAAGCTCTAGTGTGAATATTTTTACGTCTGTATTAGACATTTTCTTTGCAAATCTATTGTTCGATTGAAATGTAAATGAAATTAAAGATGGTGTACACCCATCATGTAAAAAGCAGGCACCATCTCTAAGATGGATTTAATGCTCATTTTTAAGGCATATACTCAACTTCTATTTAAAACTATAATTTAAAATAATTCTGTACAATGAAATGGGGAATATATATGGGAATAAATTCTATTCCATTTATTTCAATTTGAATTTCCAAATTGTAATGTTTCCCTTTGTGCTATAGGAATAGGATTAAGTGGGGGAAGGCTGGGACTTGTAAGGCCTGTATATGGGGGGAGGGCAGAGATGGAACAATGAGGGTTGTGATGGTAGTGAATAGCGAAGAGTGAATTCTGTGTGTTTTTTCTGTAGGACTGAAGTGATGAGATATTAGCTTTGGCTGTTCACAGAATAGAGCATCATGATTTTCAGTGTTTGAGAGAAAATTGATGGAAAAAGTTTGCAGTACTTGACATGTATTTGCATGCACAAAATAAAATTATTTGTCCACCTTAAAAGTTGTTTGTTTAGTGTCAATATTAAGTTTTTGATACATTTTAGTTATCTTGATTTCCTTGGTATATTTTTTGGCTTAACTAAACTCTCAGATACTTCTTAAGTTGAGATTTATATATGTATACATCAGTGGGAAGGATCTGAAAGAAAGGAATAGACCAGAGAGGTTGAAATAGTCCTTAATTCGATCAGTCACGTCATTTATTCAGTGGGAGATGAGAACAAAGATAATACTAGCAGTTCAAGGTATTGAACTCACAATATTTCTCCTAGTGGAGAAAAATACACAAATAACTAATACAAAGCAATGTATTGTGGAAGTGTGAAGACAGTGCTGTGGAATCTCAGAAAATGGCCATTTTCACTGGGCCTTGACTAGTTTAATTCATTCACTTGGCTGATACATTTGAAGCCCCTGTCTGTACTGATCTTTAAGGTTAAAGGTTAATGAAATGTGAGCCCTTTCTCTAGAAGCTCACTGTGTGAAAAAAGGAAAGACCAATCTGAATAACCAGCTCAGTGAACTATGTTCCAAAGTAGGGTGTGGGGAAACTCCAAAAGGGAAATCATGAGACAGGTAATAGCAGTGGTAAACTGGAGGAGGTACTTTGAAAAATGACCTTGGGCTAGACTTTGAAGGCTGAATAATATTTCACCAAGCAAAGATAAGAGGAGAAAACAGCCCTTCACTGTAGTTATGATCCCTTTTTTTATATTTGAGCAGTTGACTTACCCAAGACCTCAAAACTAGAAAGTAGTGGAATGAGAATTCTGATTCAAGTCTGTCCTTGCTCTACTTCCCAGAAGCGGGTGGTGGTACGGTGGTGGTGGTGATAACTTATTTTAGCCATAAATGTTACTGTGGAAGAAATGTTTAAGGAATAGCTTACCTAACCTCTTAGAGCACTTAATATGTTACAGACACAGTTTTAAGGGCTGTAGGTATATTACAATCTTACCATTGCCATCATTTTACAGATGAGAAAACTGAGTTAGAGTCCTTAAAGAATTTGCCCAGGGTCATACAGCTGGATGAGGTGGGTAGGGCCCTCTATGAAGGACATTGAACATCATACTAAAGACACCACTAGGGAGTCCAGGAAGTTAGATGATCTGAACAACTTGGGGTGTTAGAATGATCCCTTTGGCAGTGGTGTGAGTTGAAGCTGGAGACAGACCAGCAGGGAGGCCATGTCAATGTAAGTGTAGAGCATGACCAAAGCGAGGATGGAGGGAAAGAGATGGGTTTGAAAAGAGGGAGAGAGTAACTGATGGGATTTGTTGTAGAGAGCATATCAGACATCTGCACATTATTGTGGATTAAATTTGGCTTAGAATCCCAGACCTCACTGCTGAGAACACAAGATTATTTGTGAAACATGTAACCCTGGACTGACGACCGAAATCGGCAAGAAGAGGAAGAACCATGGATAGTTGATCCAGGCAAAAGAGAGGCAACGTAATGAAGGAAATGAAATTTCAGGAAGGTTTTATTTCCTGTATAGTTAATAGCCAAGTAATGATCATGCAAAGACTACATTTTTTTAATTCCTTATTGTTGAAAATATTACATATGTCCCCTTTCCCCCATTGTCCTCTCCCAGCCTGCCCCCACCCCCCAGCCAGGCCTTCAGCCCCCTCTTGTCTGTGTTCATTGGTTATACTTACATGCATACAAGTTCTTTGGTTGATCCCTTACTCTCCCCCACCCCTCCCTGGCCCATCCTCCCCTGCCTTCCCTCTGAGGTTTGACGGTCTGTTCGATGCTTCTCTGTCTCTGGATCTCTTTTTGTTCATCAGTTTATGTTAGGTCCAACCTGCACATTACAATCACCTCAGGATGTTTTAAAAATCCCCAAACCCAGATCACACCCCAGACCGATTAAATCACCATCTCCAGGGGTGGAGCCAGGCCTCAGTCCTTTGGAAGCTCCAGAGGTGCTCCCAAGGTGCAGAAAGGTTTGGGAACTACTGCTGTAATGAACATAAAAGGGCTGGGGGCCTGTCTCTGCTCAGGTGCATTAAAAACATCCGTCATCAAACGTCCAGGGCCATGCCGTCTTCAGAGACCCATTCAACAAATAATTTTGAGAATGAACGATGTACTAGGCAGTAGGGACGCAGGAGTGAACTAGTCCCTCACCTCGTGAAACTTAGAGTTGGAGGGACAGACAAGAAGTAAATAAAAGGTGTATGTAGATACTGAGAAATAATACAACCAGAATGAATATAATGCAACCAGATGGTGAGCTTTTGTAAGGTGGGAGTGGTCATTCTCAGCGCTGTGGACAGTGTAGGTAGGACAGTCTATTAAACATCTCCATTGGGATCTCTAACAGCTCCAACTGAACATGTTCAAATCTCAGTTTCTGCTCTTCCTCCGCTCCCCAGGCTATCCCTCCATCCTCAGGGTACCGATTTCCCTGTGGAGAGGTTCATGGAAAAATTATTGCTGAGCCTGGCAGGCTGCAAGGTTATCAAGGGACCACATGTATTGGACCCGCATGGCCGGAGAAACTCTCCATTGGATGTCCTTTAGCCATATCAGTGACCACTGCCCCTCCAATGCCGTCTACTGAGAAAGCTTATCTATCATTCTGCTCACTGCAAAGCACAGATGCTTAATGGAATTCTGTTCATTACTGCAAAGCAAGAAGGGTGAATTGGGAGCTGAGAGGCAATGAATTGTTTATCGAGACAGGAGCCATTAGAAGCTGCCTGCCTGAGCCCTCTATCCACTAAGGAAATTGAATTCATTATGAAAACCTTCCCACAAAGCAAACTCTGGGCCCGGATGGTGTCACAGGTGAATTCTATTAAACATTTAAAGAAGAAAAACACCAATTTACAGAAACTTGCAGAAAATAGAGGAGGAGGGAACTTCCTAACTGGTTGTATTAGATCAATATAACCTTGGTACCAAAACGAGACAATGACAATACCAAAAAATGCAAAATTACAGAGCAGTATTTTTGGAACAGAATAGGTTAGTATTTTCAGATGATTAAAAATTGCACATATGGCCCTGGCCGGTGTGGCTCCGTTGCTTGGGCATTGTCCTGTACATCAAAAGGTTGCCAATTTGATTCCCGGTCAGAGTACATGTCTGGGTTGTGGGCTCAATCTCTGATAGAGGGCATGCAGGAGGCAGCCAATCAGTGTTTTGCTCTCACATCAATGTTTCTCTCTCCCTCCTCTAAAAATATATATATTTTTAATTATACGTATTAAGTTATATAAAAAGTCCCCTGATTCTCATCTGTCCTTCAAAAATAACTTTTAAAAAATTTCTTATATATATTTTTTCCAGCCCTAACAGGTTTGGCTCAGTGCATAGAGCGTTGGCCTGTGGACTCAAGGGTCCCAGGTTCGATTCCAGTCAAGGGCATGTACCTTGGTTGCGGGCACATCCCCAGTGGGGAGTGTGCAGGAGGCAGCTGATCGATGTTTATCTCTCATCGATGTTTCTAACTCTCTATCCCTCTCCCTTCCTCTCTCTAAAAAATCAAAAAACAAACAAACATATTTTATATATATTTTTCCAGTGATTTTCTTTATGCATATATAAGCAAAAATTTGTTCATATATTTTTATGCAAAAGACAGGAAACTAATACATAATGTTCTTCACCTTGCTTTTTAAAAAAGTAAATAATATATTCATGCAAGTATGTCTATATCAGTGGTTCTTAACCTTCTGGCCCTTTAAATATAGTTCCTCATGTTGTGACCCAACCATAAAATTATTTTTGTTGCTACTTCATAACTGTAATGTTGCTACTGTTATGAACCGTAATGTAAATATCTGATATGCAGGATGGTCTTAGGCGACCCCTGTGAAAGGGTCGTTCGACTGCCAAAGGGGTCGTGACCCACAGGTTGAGAACCACTGGTCTAAATGATGAACTCCCAGGATGGAATTGCTGGCTAAAGGTATACTTTTGCAATACTGATAGATATTTCTCAATTGCCATCCATAAGAGTCGTATCAATTTATACTCTTACCAGCAACATCTTCCCCAGTCTCACTGTTATCAAAATTTGATTTTTAACAATCTGAACGGTGGAAAATGGTATCTGAGAGGATTCTTTTAGAGATGAGAACTAGGGAAACATATTAGTACGCTGTAGAAAGAAAGCCCGAATATGCAGGGGAGAGAGAGTGTGCAGGTCACTGCAGGAGCAGAGTCCTTTACTAGGCTGGAGGGGTGGATCCACTGCCCTGGTGATTCGTTTAATAGATACAGATTAGGGGATTGTGGGTACATTTTGAGGGGGGACTCAAGTGCAAATCTTTCTTTTTTGGGGGGGAGCTTGTTTCTTTTCTTTAATATATTTTTTTTATTTCAGAGAGGAAGGAAGAGGAAGATGGAAACATTGATGATGAGAATCACTGAGTGGCTGCCTCCTGCACGCCCCCTACTGGGGATCGAGCCTGCAACCAGGACATGTGCCACTGACCAGAATCGAACCCGGGACCCTTTAGTCCGCAGGCCAACGCTCTGTCTACTGAGCCAAAGTAGCTAGAGCAAGTGCAAGTCTCTTTTGATTGCTTCTATTTTTCAGGTGAAATAGGAACCAAGGTTATAAACTGAGCTAGGCGAGGGAAGGGAGTGTTAAAGACCTGAAAGAAGAGATGTGAATTGCTTCTCTTAGCGATTGGGAGAGTGGGGGCGATTATTAAGATTGTTGGGCAGTACTGAGGAGTACAGCCTTAACGTGGATTTTGAAGGACAAGGAACCACCATGGATGAAGAAGACCCCTGTTTCAGGGGGCTGTGAGTAAAAATAAAATTCAAAGCAAAGTATGCAAATAGTATGGATTTAACAAATATTTATGGGGAATCTCCTTTGAAGAGGCACTGTTGCTGGGTGCTGGTTTGGTCACTAAAAAGCAGATCATAAGCATATTCAAGTCAGCTGTTCATGCAAACAAAAATACAGAAAGTTACCATAGGATCTGTTCAATGAATTGTTCTTATATTTGGGGACGGGGGAGGGTTCTGACTCTTGAAAGCCTGAACAAACAGCTTCTCAGAAAAATATGCACATATACACATTTGCAATTTCAGATGGTTGCAGAATCATAAATTAAGAATCTTTCTCTTTGCCCTGGCCAGTGTTACTCAGTGGTTAGAGCAGGGGTGGGCAAACTTTTTGACTCGAAGGCCACAATGGGTTCTTAAACTGGACCGGAGGGCCGGAACAAAAGCATCTTATATTTGGGGACGGGGGAGGGTTCTGACTCTTGAAAGCCTGAACAAACAGCTTCTCAGAAAAATATGCACATATACAAATTTGCAATTTCAGACGGTTGCAGAATCATAAATTAATCTTTCTCTTGCCCTGGCCAGTGTTACTCAGTGATTAGAGTGTCGGCCTGCACACCAAAGGGTCACAGGTTCAAATCCTGATCAAGGGCACCTGTACCTGGGTTTCAGATTCGCTCCCTACCCCTCCTGGTCAAGGCTCCTGTGGGAGGCAACCAGTAGATGTATTTCTCTCACATTGATGTTCTTCACTCTCCCCCGCCCTCCCTTCTACTCTCTCTGAAAAGCAATGGAAAAAACTCTCTCTAGTGGGGATTAACAACAAACAAACAGACACAAAAACAACCAAACCACCAAACAAAAGAATTTCTTTCTTAAATTAAGAGTCCTATATTAAACTGTGTATAATTTTAGTCTATTTTGAATGATTCAATTTACACAAAGCTTTCTATGAATTACTTTGTGGTGTGTATTGGACACCTCAATAAGGACTCAGAAATCACTTTAGGTCTTGAATAAGTTGCAAAAATAGTGTAAAGTTCCCCTATACTCTTTAACCCACATCCCCAAAAGTTAACATCTAACCTAACCTGTAGTTCACTTATCAAAACAATTGATACAAGACTATTATTAGTTAACAGACCTTACTCAAATTTGTCAGTTGTCCTTTTCCTTCCTCTTAGCACCTGCTCCTTTTGCTCATTAACCCTGCCTCCTGCGCACTCCTTTTCCTGCTGGGGCCCCAGGTTCCCCCAGCCCTCCGGTCCTTTTCCTGTCCTAGGATACAACCCAGGATGGCACACTGCGTTTAGTTACCATGGACCTGGAATTTTTAAAATTTTTACTCAAGAGCTGTGTGTTCTTGGGCAAAAAGTACTTCATGTCTCTGTTTCTGTAATAGACGTGATGTGATTAAGAACAATAAAATAATCTACCAGTACATGCCCCTGCCTGGGTGGCTCAATCAGTTGGAGCGTCCTCCCATACAATTCCCGTCGGGGCACATACCTAGGTTGCAGTTCCATCCAGTCTGGGCGCGCATGGGAGGCAACCAATCTCTCTCTCTCTCTCTCAAATCAATAAAAACACATCCGGGGGCACATACCTAGGTTGCAGTTCCATCCTGTCTGGGCGCGCATGGGAGGTAACCAATCTCTCTCTCTCTCTCTCTCTCTCTCTCAAATCAATAAAAACACATCCTCGGGTTTGAATAAGGCCTATTAAAAATATGTATAGGGAATAGTTCGAAAATTTCAAAGGTAACAAAACAGTTGTTTTTTTTTATTGTTCAAGGCTGGGCATATGTAATGCAGCTCGGGTTTGAATAAGGTCTAGTAAAAATATGTATAGGGAATAGTTCGTAAATTTCAAAGGTAACGAAATAGGTTTTTTTTATTGTTCAAGGCTGGGCATATGTAATGCAGCCTTTCGTTGTATTTAAAAAACAAAGAAAACGAAAGCGTATTACTATTGTCGAGGTGTTTTGTCCCAGAGTCGGACCCGTAGCCCCGCCCTCGGCCCGAGAAAGGATCGCTCTCATTGGGCTGCGTGCATCTGCCCTGACACAGGAAGGCCGGCCCATGGGTCCGCACAGCCGGACACCGCGGCTTTTCTCTCGGGGCTCCAGGCGCTGACCCACTTCTCTCCCCTCCAGCTGGGCGCTCCCTTTCTTCCGAAGCGTCCGGAGCCGCCAGCCCGAAGGGTCCGGACCGAGCTAGGCCGGTAACTGCGCTGAGGTCGGCGGGGAAGATGCGGGTGGAATGCGGGTGGCGGGCGAGCCAGCTTTGTCCGCGGTCCCTTCGACCCCCGTGGTCTCCGCGACTCCCTGCCCCGCCTCCCTCGCTGCC